AAATCCCCAAAACCATTAAATTCACTTTTTGTAATCTAGATTTGTAGATTACTTTATATCATTTCTTAAATTTTTTTTGAAATTCGGCAGGTTTGGTTGCATTAACAAAGAGCAAAGCAGCGCGCTGTCTTAGTTGTGGTAAATCTTCAGCATGCTTGCCCGGTAACTGCACGCAAACGAAATGTCTGGCCTGCGACATATCTCTGTCACCAAGAGTTTCAATAGTTTCCTTTGTCCTGATAAAACCATGCCAAAATTCCTTCATTCTAATCACCCTTCCGGGGCTGGCAGCGATTTAAATCTAACTTTCACAAATTCAAATAATATTACTTTTCAATGGGAAGTCAGTGGAGAAGTTCACGTAGGCAATAGTCACCGTATTCACATCTGCATCAATTCTTCTCCAAGGATCAATGGCTTCAATTCTCGAAAAAAATTGTTAGCCTAACTCATTTAAAGCTGAAGCCTAATATGGAGTCAATTCAAGACAGTTTTGACCAGGAAATCCAATCGGTGCGACTCTCTCAAGTTATGGTGGAACGTGGCCCTTTCTGCGGTTTTCTGCAACGTGTAGGCTTCCAAGCACAAATTTAAAAAACACGCTAACAGCACCTACTTTTTTAACTCCAAGGAAATTTAAATAGAATGGAAGAAAACGGTAATGAAAGCGAAAAGGACTCATCGTGCTCAAACAATTCATAAAATTTGTACAAACAATAATTCAAAACCTTTTTGGAAACTTTTAAATGGTCATCGATAGATAAACAGAAGGTATAAGTATCCAATAAGGAATGATGTTAATAATAAATTCTATCTAGATTGGCTTAAAAACAAGGTAGCCATAGCCAATTATATAATCCTTCCCTCTCCCCAGCATTCGGCACACAACGTGTCCGCTTTCTTGTTGAAAGAACTTGTCCACGTCCTTCAAGAGGGTAAGAGGTCCTCTGCTGCGGGCTGTGATGGCATCAGATATGACATGCTGAAGGTCTTTTCTGCCCCAAGTGTGTCTGCATTACCTTCTACCGTAAATAAATGTTGGACTAACAAATCCGTTCCAAATGCTTGGCGAAAAATTAAGATTATTCCACTCCCTAAATTGGGAAAAAATTTTAATGATTTCACTAATTTTAGACCTTTTTCCTCTTGCGCATTTCATGTTAAAGACCACAAAGCATACGGTTAAGGAAAGACTTATAAAGTTTTTGGACACCTGTCACTTCTATCCCGCTATGTCTTATGCATACTAGAAACACATATCTACTAACATGTGACTAAAGGAGGTTGCCTTCAAAATATAATGTGATAAAGCGGACGGTAACAAAGTCGTTATGTTTACTTCAAACACCAACAAGCCCATTAATCGGCTTTGATCTGGGTAAATTTGGAAAAATTGAAGAGATTTTGAAACTCTACTAGACCTCAGACTCTGCATCTTAAATTTCCTGTCATCCCGTATTCTACTTAGAGGCTTGGATACAGTTCGCAAAGGCTTGCCTCAGGGTAGTTGTCTGATCCCCATTTTGTTCAACCTATGCATTGCTACTCTACATCGGTTTCAGGGGAACAGAACACAGACGTTTCAATATGCAGGCGGTTTTTTAATTGTCTCACTAGGAAGATCCTTTGACGAGGCAGTTCATAACCTTGATATCAAGTCCAATCTTTTCACAAAGCTTGTGCCGACTTAAACATGTCTTTTAACCCAAATAAACCTGAGGTGATCAACTTTGCAAAAGCATCTAATAAAATTATTAATATCTCCAGAAATGCAACCAGGGTTAATCGTGAAGTATCTTTCAAACTCATTGGCAGGATTATCAAATCAAATCTGACTCTCCAAGGACATTACCTGGAAAGTTTTAAAAACTGTCAGTCTGAAACAAATTTCATCAAACTCATGACCAATTCACAAAACGGACTTACCCCAACGAAAGCTTTAAATGTCTACAAATGTTTAGTCTGATCGAAACAGAATATGCTGACCTTTTAACACTTGCTGCTAAGACTTTGTGCTGGTCTCTCCTCCTCAACGCCGATTCCTATTCTAAGATTTATTTAGGCCGAACTTTTATTTTTTCAGAGGGCATACCTGCATTTGCTAATTGCTAAAGAACTTTTAAAAGTAAAAATCTTTAGAGCTTCACATTTTCAACACAGTCAACACCATCCCCATTCGGAATTCAACCCATTCCAAATGCAAAATTGATCTGAATATCATCAACTCTATAGTCAATTCTAAAAGGAACTCAAGTCGTACGATATGTATGTTTTGAAATCTATGATATTTTGAAAGATCCTACCTTTGGAGAATGCCACTTGATCCGGATTCCAGATTAGTACCGTCTGAGTTTCAATTTAATGGCACAATTTTTCCCATAAATTATCCTCCCTGTAATGCACTCCCTCGCATTCATAATAACATCATATAAGAATGAAAGGGTGATTATCATGGAAAAAAATGATCGTCTTTTTTATAAAATTCATTCTTTCCTGACCTTTGAGCATCTGCCGGATGGCAATTTCACAACGTGGGAAAGTAAAATACTTTACAGACAATCACGAGCAATCATGCAGATGACAACGTTTATTTAAAAATGATCCAGGCTGTTTCCTGTGATATCTGTGAGGCACGCAGCACCGCAGAGTTGGCTGAACACTTAATTTTTGTATGTAGAAGGTTCAACATCCTTAGACAATATATCGCTTTGATTTATACAATAATCTATGTGAAATTTTTCTTTCAATTATACACCTCTCAAACAACTGACTGCCTCTATCGAAGCTGCTGATTTTTCCTTTTAATCTCCTTTTCTCCTACTATCTTAATTAATAGTACGCTGCCTAAACTTATAATTACACTTTTCCAGGAAATTTATCCGGAATTCGATAGTACCGTACTGACCACCTGTACATGTTCGCCTCTGAACAAAAAAAATCTCATCTACCAGACATCTGATCCTCCGGCTTCTTGCGAAAATTAATCCAACTGTGACTCTTAATCTCACAACCAATGGAACATCATCAGGAAAGTTCCTTTATCTGACGTTACCGGTGTACTAGCCTCACAGTCTACAGTCTGTGCGTGCATATGAAATTGTAACAAATGAAATTGCAATTAAAAAAATAGTCTCTCTTTGCTTCTCTTTTAAATCTCTTTGAACCAAAGTTCAGCGGGGCTACTACTTGGTTATATATAGCAAACTGCGTCGGGAATATGGTTTAGAACTTCTATGAATGGAGGCTACCAAAGCGAAGCAACTTGCCTAATAATTTCTTATATAGCAACAAATTTTTATTGTTACATATAACAAATTTTTCCATTTCACTTTTTAGATTCACCTTCACTTTTATAGGTTATTATATAACAGATTATTAAACACATTAGAATTTTAATTTATAGACCAAATAAGGTGACCAAACTTGCTTCTTTAGGGAGCACATCAAGACCCCGTTTTGCATCGTTTCACTTAACCTTTTTTCGATGTTGCATGAGAATTCAATTACGGCTGATTTTCATTTGCGTTGTCAGATTTTCGATTTTCGTTTTTTTTTTTTGTACGAAGTATATTTAAACTGTTTTTAAATGAAACTATTGGACCAGATCAGCCTACAATGCAACAATTTTGGGAAATATTTAACGTCATGCAAGAGTAAAAATGACTACCGGTGCGTGGATTGTGGTTAAACTATCTTGCATGAACGTTGTCTGGCGTAAATTGTGGCCTAAATGCGTGCAAAAGAAAAAGTGGGTCCTTCAATTTTAGAAATCGATGATACTCTTACCGCTGTTTGTGAAGAAATCGCTAATTTGGCTACAGAGAACGATTTTGAAAGAATGAATAAATCGGACGTAGACGAAGTATTGTAACTGCCGATAACTACGTATTACCTAACGAAGTATCAATGAACCTTGATAACCAATGTACTAACAGAAAAGACAGTCGAGTAGTAGAGCAACGAAGTTTTCCATCACAAAAGCTTTCTAAGTCCATAAGTTTAATTGATGAAGCTCTGGAAATTTTTTCACGAAATGATTCTGGCAGCGAACAAAGCTCCAAAGTTGCTCTAGCAGTAACTTTGTCTTTGCTGGATACTTCACACGAAATTTTTCAAGTGCTGATTCCGATTTAACTGTTAACTATCCGTATCCGTTAATTAACTTTATTTCGATTCCTAACTTTATCATTTCACAAAGCGAGGTGTCACATGATTCGAGGTTCCTCTATTAAAAGAACTATGCTTAGTACGCGCGGGATGCCTATGTCATATTTAAACTAACTTGCAATCTTAACATCTTACTGTGATTCAAAAATTAACTGGTTTTGTTTACTGTTATCGGTTGCCAAGCGTTTGTATGTTTGCAAAGATTCATGGGTTTACTTGCAACTTGGATCTGTACCGGTTATGGGTACGCCTCTGTACTAGCTGTGTACATGCCTTCGTTTCTTAATTTTTTTTTTCTTATTCTTTTATGCATTAATTAATATTTAATTATTTATTTTTTTCTGTTTTTCTTTACTTCTCCTTATATCCTTTATACTAGTTTTTGTTAATAAATAGTATAAGCTTTACTTCTAAGAGCTAATTGAACTGAGCTGTTCATTTAGTTTAGCTGAGTTTCATATGTAAGTAAATAAGTAAATAGATAAATAAATAAATAGATATTGCTCATTTATTTTTTTGAATTTTTTGTTGTTTTGTGTTAATGTTTTGTTTTAATGAGAAAAATGAAATTTTTTGTATAATTTTAGTTATAGATATGTGCATATACATTATAATCGATAAAAAGAATTTTTGCAGCTATCTTCGAATTTTATACGATTTCCTATAGAAAACTGTAATTCACTTTGCGTTGTGTTTTTTTCGAACGTACCTACATAGAGCGGAGTCTTGGAGGATCGTCAATATTTAAAACCTGTTAAACTTGAGAAGGTGCAAAATAAAGGCTAAATAAATATCTGATTCAACAATTTTCCCAAGGCCGCGAAAAACTCCCCAAAAAAAAAAAAAAAGATGAAAACTAAAGATTCTCATGAACGTTCTTGCACTAGAAGTTCATCTCGAAAAAGTAAAGAAACTTCAACAATTTCCTTCCGCCCAAAATGTCTAAATTCTTTTTCTGTAAAGAAATACTGCTCACTTTAGAATAAAGCAACTTCCTGCATCGATTTTTCTTTGTGCTGTTATTTTATAAAATATTGCTTTTGATTTTGTTAAAGCAATGACCTACGAAGAAAAATGTATTCAATTTTTAAACGAATTGTTTATTTGATGAATGATTCTTTTAAAATCTATGCCAAGTTACAAATATGTGGTTTATGAATGTAGTTCAACATTTTATGCAAGACATCGTATGAAGCTTTTAACAAAATTCTTATCATGTAAAAAAATTTAACGAGATACCAAAAGCAGCATTTTTTGTTTCTTACCTAATACAAAACAATTCATTGTATGTATATGTATATATTACACATCAAATACGAAATGTGATGACTTAGAAAATACTCGCCACATTTGGCCCCGCAGATGTACTGTTAGGCTCCGTTTGTACTGGTCTGTCTATATCTTGGTAGCTACGTTGCTGCGTAGTAGGAAATACAGAGCCAGTCTGCATGTTACCACCGCGTGCATTGAACTCACGGTATAACAAAATAACGCTGATGGGACGTATAAGCAAATTGATTATTTGAAACGTAATGGCCCAGCCATCTAAATAAAGAACAGAGTAAGGAATATTAACAGATTATGAATATAAATGTAAAAAAAAACTCAACAAATGACAGAATATGTACAGCAAACTTACTTGATGTATAAAACATCACTACAATGCAAACGATATCAAAGAATATGCTGCTGGCGTCTATGATTAGGGCCTAAAATGTAAAATATGCATCCATTTCAATGATATGAAAATTACAACTAAATTATTCCGCTATTGAAGATTATTACTTTAATTAAAATTAAGGGTATATATAGTAATTAGCCAGGCCGGGTCGCCTAAAACGAAATAATTGATTCATATTCCGCTTTTCATGAAACATATGAATTAAATATGGTTTATTTAACTGAGACTACAAACATCTCAGCTGAATAAATACGGGAAGTTTCTTTTTTATCTTACAATGAAATTATAAAAGCACGAAAAAGAATATTTCGGGACTACAACATTTTTTATCCATTTTTATACAAATGTATGTCCACAAAACGTACAGTGAGTCTCATTAACATTAAGATTTTTCGCTCGACGAAAAATAAACGCTTGTCCAAGCATAAAAATTTATTTTACTGTTTTGTGCTACCAGAATATACATATTAAAATCTAAGAAAAAAAATAAACCCACTATTATTCTAATAGACAAGAAAATTAAATAACTTCAAGAACTCAAAAACCGTAGCGTCATTAATATGGGGGTCTTTTCGTACAAGGAACGATACGAAGAAAAGAACAGCACATTATTAAAACTTATAATTCGGTTGGGTATTCATATTGTTTAATAACGTCATTTAAACTTATGATTTCGAATGGGAGAAATAACTATGCAATAGGAAGTCAGACGACATACTATACAGGTGAACCTATGTACATAATATTGGACATGTGTATTCCTAGAAGATGCTAATCTTAATAATAAACAGGCTTCAGATATACAATAGACAAAAAACTAGCATATCACAGCAGATTATAAGATCCTCAAATTCTTTATTATTATTATCATCCCTTCTTATTATACTATTGTTACTATTGTCTATGTTGTGACTGAGCTAAGCCGATATGAAATTGGGGAAAGCTTCTGAGCTTGAATGTGACAAGTACACAATCTTTTTTCGCGAAAGTTATAGCTTTTTTCAACTAAAAGCACTTTTGCTGTAAAAAGGAAAATTTTATCAAGAGAAGGAAAGTGAGAATGATGGCCTAAATGGAAATTTTTCTTTTTATTTATTTGAGTTAAAAATGTAAAAGGTTGGTAACTAGTTATCATTGTTTCTACAAGTTGCCAAATTGTCAATATGTTGAAAGCCTTAAGCTTTCGAGAAAATCGAAGGAAACCATGCTTTACATATATTCATATAAATGCGAAATGAATCACAAAATTGAAGCCGATGCAAAGTTAAATGATAGTTATTATTTAAATAGGCGACAACTGCTCCTACACTGTCATTTTATTTATTTAAACTTTCATGTAACTAATTTAATTTTGCTAATATATAAAATTTAATTGGCAAACAAAGTCTTTATCCCAGTGGGAATCTTAATCGATAATAATATGTATATTCATTCATAAGATTTTCGTTGTGTACTTCCGAATATTATAAATAAGAGGACCAAAAAAAAAATGGACATAAAACAAGTAAATCAAGCAAAATTTTAAATTATCATTAATTATGAAATAGTGTTGAACCTGCCTAGTGCTCATATAAGTTTGTATAAAACACTGATATGGAAATTTTTTTAAAAAATTCACTTATTGCGTGACTTTTGCCTTAACAGAATTCTCGATGGTTTGCTTACAATTAGGCAGTTAATTCAAATTCGTGAAATGCTTACCGTTTGCACAGGTTCAATTGAGTCCTTGCTGTGCATTGTCCAAAACATTGAAATTATAAAAAGAAAGTTGTAAAATTCATAGGCGCCATTAATCTGTCCAAGCATAGCATTCGCAATAAATAAAAAGTGAACAAAAGCCACCAGCTACGGATAAAACAAAAGTAAAGCATTTAAATGTGACATATGAAAATTACGTCATTTAAAAATGAAATCAAATGTGAAAGAGCTTAACGGGTAAGTGCAATTGCCCCTCATTTATCAAAAAATCATTTATATGCAAATTAATTATACAAGAATCTAATCATGTTTAAGGTTCTGCTACATGCATAATAACAATTAGAAAACATTAATACATTAAGTTTGGGCCGAATTTTTTTAAAACAACTCGGTAATCTGTATACAAGTACGAGTATGTGCGATAATGAGTTACAAAATAGAGCGAAGATCAATTAGTGGGTATGCCCGTGTGTAATGCAATGTTGGGTTAAAAAAGGTGCCAAGACTTTTTTTCCACTTAAATTAGCGTGCTTACTCAAGAGAGTAGCTTGTTTTTTAATTACACTTCCCCTTAATTAAGTAGCATTTACTTTCATGTCAACATTTTTCTTTAATATTTTCATCCAGAAAGTACATTTCATATTAGGCTTGCTCTTTAACTGGGCCAAGACGACGTGCCATTAACATTATCTTGGGTTTCAATACCAAGCTAAAGTTGAATGGAACTGAATCAGCCGAATAGAGCGTGTCGAAATGTCTTGAAAGATGAATTGTACCACCAACGGTAGTTATCTGCTTCTAGTTGTGGTTGTTTTCAGCGAATAGTCTCAAACGACACCTTCAGTTCGCCCCGGTGGTGAGAATTCACTATACACTACGCTGTTAATTAATGAGTTTTGTGCCAATAAAGCCCTCAAAAAACTTCAAAGAATATTGTCATTTTCATTAAAGGAAATTTTTTAGAAACTTTGTGGAGCCTCTTAAATTAACTTGACAGGAGTTATAAGAAGAAATATGAGCACAACTTTGTCTCTTTAGACAAAGTTTTAAGATCGTAGCAGTAATTTTCAAAACACAAAAATTCGAATATTTCATTGCATTACAAATATTTCGAAAATATTTTATCAACACACCATGGTGGATAAAGGACATGTTATATCGTTGCACGCTAATATAGCAAGGTTTGAAACTTTAGACTTTTCATATAGTTGGAATTGCGGTTACATTGTCTGAATTTGCGCTTAGATTACCTCAAGGATTAACAAATGGAAAACGCGCAAGCAACAAAAATATTCAGCAACACTTTTGTAAATAGAATATGAAAACTAATCAAGCATTTGCAATCAAGTCAAGTATTAGTTTACATTAAAGGTTTTGCACGGTTTTAAATCTTCGTCTCATTTATTTGTTTTCTTTTTTTTTATATAAAAAGCACTACAAGTGCTATATAGTACATTTTACACTTCTAAATATTTGAGTGTATATATACACATATATAATACATACATATTGCCTCTTGTAAATGTAATCAAAAGTAAATCATAGACTTAAAAGAGCTAATAGGACATATAAGCCACAAATCTCTGTTCAACATACCAAAAAAAAAAAAAAAAAAAGAGCTAATAGGATATTTAATTTTTTAACAAAAGAATGCAATTTTTTTGGTTTTGAAACATTTTAGGAAAATGGATAGAAATTCAAAAATAATCAACAGTTGCAGATTATGCCAGCGCATTTGGAGCATTTGGACATGCTTTTCTTGACATTCATATAAGTTTTATTAATAGCTCTTTGCCAATTACCTTTACGCGCACAAAAGCAGATTCCATCAATTCTCCCAAATTGCCCATCGTTAATTAAGCTCTATCGTCAGCCACCCGTTGCTTTTCTCAGTTAATATGAGCAATATGTGAACACTTTATAATAGCTTTACTTTTCAATTATTATTTAAAAATACAAAGACTTTCGTCATTATTAATAAAATTCTTTAGGAAACTACTTGTTTGCACTCAAAGTACATTAAATTAGAATAAAAGTTCTTTTCAAATTTTTCCACCGTACGAAGAATAACCCACTTGTTGGGTTGAGATTGCTTAATGTATATTGAAAATTATTTGAGCAGAGAACACAGTTGACAAAATAATGAAACTGCCAATAAGAAAAAAAGTGTTTACTAAGAACGAAAGCATGAAAAAGTAATGGTAGAACTGCCAACAGTAAGCAAAAAATTTCGAGCAATTTTCCTGAACGCTTTTATAGCCTACTACGCAAAAACGTATAGATTCGCATCATTTATGTGTTTCTTGATTAAACCATTTATATGCATTTTATATCGACTTATTTAAGTCATATTAGGAGCATTTTGAATTTAAAATTTCATGCTATGTAACAACCGAGCCTACATGTGTAACATAGAGGAAAATGTATAAGATATATGTAGACGTATGTATGGCCTATGTGTTTATCTAATTTATTTTACTTAGTAAAAATTTGCTAGAGAAATTATAGTTTAGTAAATCGAATAACACTGCTCTAATACGTTATTAACTTTTTGGCAATCGATTTCCAAATTTGACTTAGATTGAATGGTGGATGGGCTACGGAACAAGACATCTCTAATCTTCTAAGCTTTCTGTAATCCTTACACTTATATTGTACTTATATTTACATACATTTACATACAGGTACTAGCCTGCATTACACATTACGTTGAAAAGCTTCGCTAGTTGAAATTTAATAAATAAAAAGTATATAAATAAATAAATGCATGCAGGCATAAATTGTTCGCGGAAAAACTTTTCTTTCAATTTCAAAAACACTGCACACAATTCTAGGAAAATTTCTATCAAAATGTATTATTGGTTGGCAAGTTCGCAAAGGAAAACACGAAACCACATTAAACACATCTAAGCTCATTAGTCAGAAAGATTCGTTGGCATTGCATTGTCATAGATTTTATTTTGTTCATACCGCATTGTTTTAAACAATTCATATTTTATAGCAGTACATTTCTCGACTAATTTCAGCATTTACAATAACACTTGAAGCAGTCGTGCGCAGCCGGGTAATGTAATATTACTGTAACACAAGATTAAAATAATACTGCGTTTTGATAATAATTCTTTTTGAGATATGTGAATAAAACTTTGAACTGTGAGCAACAATTTATTATGATTTATTAATTCGTGTCCTATCTTGTCTCTAGCCATAATTTAATACGAAAATAACTACAACTTCTGCTTAGGAAATATGTCAACAAATTTGTTAACGCAAGCTATGTTAAAAGATCTGCATTATGATATACCCAATGTCTGTACGGTAAAATCATCTTATTTTATAACATCATAAGTATGTAAAATAAAATTTTCTGTTTTAATTGATAGCAGCCAATTGACACTTTCGAGTCGATTGGTAGGCCCACTACGGTAATGGTACTCTTTGAACACAGTGATATTAATGCTGCTGTATATCACATGTCAAAAACCATAGAGGATCCGGAATCCTTTAGATGTGGTGCGATAGCCACCGTTTTGGTCGAGGAGTGCATCAAAGAGATTTTCAAGAAGAAGTTGCTAAATGCACTTAAGACTCAAAAACTGGCGGATAACAACAACGCTAGTTTCGGGGAAGCTACTGAAAACCTTAAAAGATTGAATGCTAACGCAATCAATTTCAATAATGATAACGGTACAATAGCTATAATGGTAGATGATTTTAGCCACGAACATGTAGGATCTTATGTTAACGGTATTATAACGCTTCATGCTTTTCGCACTAATAAAGAATGTATAGCATTAATAAAAAAGGAATCATTGGAATTTACATGTGCAACAATATGGCATGAGAATCATTCGTACGCGTATGAGCTTATAGCAGCGCTAACATGCAAACTGTTCTATATAAATTGCTTTCGCATTAATTTATCGCCATTGAAATCAAAACCACCGGCAAGTGAATCGTATGTAACTATGGATGAACGTTATCATTACGAAACTTTCGTTTCTAATGGTGTGCTAAAAAGCACCATTTTTCCTATTGGAAGCATTTTTGCCAATTAAATTTTTTATCATGAACAATAAAATTGTATGAATTATTTTACTATTTTTAGAAGTGCTATTGATTAACGATACGTCTGCAATTAACTGAAGAGGCTGAAGTGATATTTTTATATATTATCTTTTGTTAAGATACGGACATAAATAAATACTACCGGAAGGAAATAAAAGTAAAGTAATTTAAGTATCTTTTCATTAACTTTATAAAAACGTCTACATGTTACGTTATACAAAAGAAGGCGAAGGGTAGGTATATGCTTACATTACACACAAAACTTAGGTGTCGATAAAGATAGCCGCACGTTCGGCTATAATAAGTGAAATTCATTTTTTCAAAAGTGCACTACCTTTTTGTGTTTACGTTGCTTTTGTATTCCAGGTAATAGGCCAGGAAAGAATGTCTTAAAAGTGAAAAACGAACAAGAACTTATTTCGACCCAGATCGAAGATCTGGAAAGTGAAATGTATGAGACTTTATAACGAAAACAGTACACGTCCATTACGATCAGAGAAAAAAAAAGAATAACTACATATTTCCATAAGTATATGTTTTCTGGTCACCTTAATATAAATGCAGAAAATACTACGAACGTATTTCTTTTTTCGTAGACTTTTAAAGGTAATAATTCAGTCATTTGTTTATTACTGTGTATGCATTATGTTTTTTTTTCTTTTTTTTTTTTGTTGTTGTTGCTAGTGGGTATTAAAACAAAAAAAATTCCTTTCACGTTAAACCTTGACTTTCTACTCAGCTCCGTTTGTTTGCTTTTCTCTTCTTTCGTTAGTCGTTTCTAAACTGTATACTTAAGAAGTTTTAAGCGGTTAATCCAAACTTGAGTTTTTATGCATAATTATAATAATTCCATAGATGCATACGCGCGTTTATACTCTAGTAATAATTTCGCAATTAATAAATGACTTTTCATGCACATCAGACAAGCCAGATAATAGGCTTTAATTACGCCAACAATGATGACAGCACGGAAAATGTCATATTTCACGGAATTCAAAACAGTCATGGTAACAATGAAATATATCCACTGGAAGATGGCGAGGAAGAGGAAGTGGAGGCGGACGAGGACGCAGGCAATGCAAATACACCACTAATTTTTAATAATGAAGGTAATTCACATAAATGAAACGAATTGTAACTTGGTGTAAATATAAAGGTATTACAATTCTGTATATATTTGAACAGAAGATGGCGATTTCCCTAGAGCGCGCACAGTGTTCGGTTTCATGGGCTTTTTAGGTTTTGCAGTAGTTTATGCTATGCGCGTAAATTTGTCAGTTGCCATTGTGGCAATGGTTAATCAAAGTGCAATTCCACATGTAAACTCCAGCGCGATGATCGATGAGACATGCCCCGCTGATAATAAGAAAAATGTGACAATTTTATCAGAAGGGGAATTTGCTTGGGATGAATCTACGCAGGGTCTAGTATTGGGATCATTTTTTTACGGTTATGTATTAACACAAGTGCCTGGCGGACGTATGGCCGAGATAGTTGGCGGTAAACTTGTGTATGGCTACGGTGTATTGTTTACTGCAATCTTTACTATATTGACACCAATAGCTGCCTACTGGAATCTGCCAATTTTAATTTTAGTCCGAATTTTGGAGGGCATGGGTGAAGGTGTTACTTATCCAGCTATGCATACAATGTTAGCCTTTTGGATACCCCCATTGGAACGAAATAAATTTGCCGCCATTGTATATGCTGGATCGAATATTGGTACGGTTATCTCCCTGCCCTTATCTGGATGGCTTTGTTCACTTGATTTTCTTGGAGGTTGGCCGTTATCTTTCTATTTATTCGGTGCTATGGGACTAATATGGTTTATATTTTGGATGTTTTTGGTGTATGATAAACCTTCGATGCATCCAAGGATTTCCACTAAAGAACGTATGTACATTGAGAACAGCATGCATTTAATAAGATTATCAGGACGTAGATTTTCTAATATCGATACCATTAATCAAGTTTCTACTCATTCAATACCGTGGTGCTCGATTTTAACTTCCATTCCATTGTGGGCTATATTAGTAACGCAGTATGGGCAAAGCTGGGCCTTTTACACACAACTCACCGAATTGCCAACGTATATGAATAATATTCTACACTATGATATAGAATCAAATGCTTTATTAAATGCAGTACCCTATCTAACATCGTGGCTGATGGGAATAGCTTGCTCGTCCCTGGCCGATTGGATGCTGAGAAAGCGTTACATATCTTTAATTAATTCTTATAAGCTATGGAATTCGATTGCTTCAATAATACCATCTTTAGGATTAATTGGTATAGTTTACGTTGGTTGCAGTTGGGAATGGGTTACGTTTATGTTGGCTGGCGTCGGGTCATTTGCCGGAGCAATTTATGCCGGCAATCAAATGAACCATATTTCTTTAAGTCCTCGTTACGCCGGCACCATGTACGGAATTACAAACTCTGCCGCTAATATATGCGGATTTTTGGCTCCTTACGTTATTGGATTGATAATCAATCACAGTGAGACGTTCTCTCAATGGCATATAGTATTTTGGTTGGCAGCTTATCTTAATATTGGTGGCAATATTGTTTACTTGCTATTTGCCAGTGCTGAAGAACAAAATTGGTCAATATATCATGGTCAACGCAATGCAAACAATTGCGAAGAAATTCGGACATGAATGGTTTTATAGTTCCTTGATATATTTTCGTATATATGTAGCGTATATATACATACTATATATATATACATATAGTTCACATACATTGTTTATATACAGTAGAATTTGTAAAATATAGAAAATATAAAATATATATATTTATGGTTAGGAGGTCACTTTGTTACTCATGCATTCGATATTGTTTTTAGACTTTTGCCGTAGGTATTTATTTATGCAAAAAACCACTTTATATTTCTATTCTCATCTGCTAACAGCACACTGCAGTTACTATCATTCCGCGTGCTTTCCATGGAAGTAATAAACTGCTATGTTCCCTAAAGAAATTCTACGGGCATATATGAGATTTTAAATGTCGAGAAATTTCATGAAAATAGTATGGATTTATTCAATTCACATATTTGAAATAATTTCAATCAATTATTATTATTATTACGGTTATGATATCTACATTCCTCAGCTCTCGGCTGGGAATTCACCCATCCCCGGGTGTATACTACCAAGGGTTCGGGCTCAGCTGTTTTATAATATTCTCTTGACGCTCTCGGTGTTTATTGTTAATACTACTTTAGCACTTGTATTTACTGGTGTTGCAAGAATGCGCGTGTCAAAGCCGCTGTACAGAGCAGCACTGCTTTCTGTGACTTTTCAACTATGTTATGAATTTCTAAGTAATCAAGGCCCTTTATAGCAATTTTTGGCAGTACTCCGGTACAAGACGTCACGACTGGAGTTATACTGACTTTTTCTACATTGTACATACCTTTCACTTCCTATGCCAGCACCGTATATTCGGCAATCTTATTGGAGGATGTTGTTTGAGAATTTCGTGTGAGCTCGATTGTACCGTCTACAATTTCGATGGCATTTGTATGCTGTATTTCTTAGACAATGCTTGATGCAAATGTCGTCAAATTTGCGACCTGTGCATCATGTAAACTCGGTAGGTACACTAGCTACCTCTGTCTATTGTTGATTTCTTCGTATTAGTTAGCACGTGCGCTGATCTTGTTATAGGGATCTTGGCTATAATGACATTTTTTGATTTTGGTTCGGTTGTAACGCTTTGTGGTTCCTTGCACGCTCTTGCTGATTTCGGTGTTGCATTTCTGACCCTTTCCTGGGTTACATATTTAGGCCTTGGATTATCAGACCTAGTTGTTGCAGCTTTGGCTGCTATGTTCCCTGTTGTGAAGGGCATTGTTCTTGCCGTTCGGACCTCTGTTGTCCTTACTAATGTTTCCGTTTGGGTCTGCTTTAATGAACTTATAGCCATTGGGTCTAGTGTGGGGGAGATTTCGGACCCGTCTGATGCTCGAGTCCAGTTAGCCGCTGCCATGGTTGTGGGTGTGCTATTTCGGCTGCCTAACTTAACGGGATAGCCGGCTACGGTCAGCACAGCACAGCGTCTGTTTTCGCCAGGAAGTCCACACTCAGGATGAGGTGGTCGACGCTTCTTCTCACCACCAATAGCTCCAGGTTAAAGGACATAACGCCTATCGTCACCTCCACCGTTATGCTACGTTTGCTATCTTGTGATGCGCCGTGTACCATTCGAATGGTGTAGAAAAAAAAGGAAGAAATTAAAAAAAAAAAAAAAATTTAAAAAGGAATAAAATGGAAAAAAAAGGTTTTGTTTTTTTTGCTTGGTTTCAATCTAAAGGAAAATGAACCAAAATAAAAAACAATAATAAATGATATAAATCTTTAGTGCGTTCATTTTTGAGTGAAAAATTATTCTGTTTTTTGCGATTTTGTAAGCTCCTTTTTAAAAATATATATATTAAATAGTTTTTCTTCCGGATTTTTGGTAAGTATTCCCCAGGATAAAAGCTAAAACAACATCAGCCCATTTTCCGATGGAGAGAAGGTCTGATCCGATTATTGCATGTAGAGGTGTATTTGAAAATTTTTATTTCAATGCCACTGAGAACAAAAAGGGACCAAGGATGGTTGGGGATGGAGTTGATCTATCTTCTTCAGCTGATGATTCAATAGTACTCACTAACTGGGTAGTTAGTAGATAAGGTTTCTAACTAATTTTTATGACTATATTTCGCCATGCAATTTTTTCGTTTTTGTTAGAACTTGTGAAAATGCCGAGTCTATACGTATGAATATCACTTCAGATCTTTTTTTTTGTGATTGTCTCAAATGTTTCAATATTAAGTGATTAAAAGAACTAAAGACGGTTAGTAAGGGTAGAGCCAAATTACTGTTCAGGTCTGCTCTTAGTGCGAACAATTTCATTAGAAATAATGATTTTAGCAAGAAGAACTTGAAAGCGTACATTGCGAGAGCTTTTACGGAAAGATTCGGAATTATTCGTAACGCGCCTATCGAATATGAGTCAGATTGGATTATCAAAAATGCCGTGTCTGATCAAGTTAGCCTCTAGGCTTCGAAGAAGGAATCCCGTCAACAAGGATGAATTTGTTCCGGCAACTGATATAAAGATTGGTTTCAGAGGAAAGTTCTCACGACGTCTATCCAGGTCAATTTTTGTAAACTCCCTTTTAATTACTTTGTACCCTCCTTGAAGCAATACTTTAAGTGTGGCAGATATGTGTTTGTGTCGAAGTGTTGCAAAGCCAAGGAGAGCAGGTGACTTAATTGCGACAAGTTTCCCAATTGTATCGAAAACTGTGAAATGATGAGGTAGTTCTCCTGGTGTTCAAGTGAACACAACGCTCTGAACAAGTCTTGCCCGAACAGAAAGTGGAGTTAACTATCAACAAGATTATGGCCATTACAAATTTTTTCTACAAAGAAGTGGAAGAGTAGCTCTCCTCAAACTACTTTCAATGTTTGGATGACTTGGCCATCTTGGACAAGGATGATAATGAGAATGTTAATAAGATTCTAACAAAGGAAAAATTTACCTCACCTTTGAGAAACATATTGAATTCATTCATGAAAAAGTTGTGGGCAGCTTATGATTTATTTATTTCAATAGCACCTATTTACCGCATTGGATTAAGTTCCGATTTGCTCATGCTCTATTGATGCCCCTGGGCTGGAAGTGGTTGCTGGTAGTACTGTGGATAACTTTTTGAGGCTTAATCAAATTTAATTCAATATTCAATGGTACGTTTTGTGTACGGCTTACATGGCAGCAAGCATGTGTCTGAGTATGTTACACAATTCTTGGGATGTACTTTTGCAACATTCTCATTATGGCGTAGTCCTGTACAGTTGTATCCTGCCTCTTAATCTATGCTCTGAAGTCAGCGGTAAATCGTATTTATTTGTTTTTGGATAAATGCATTTGTTGATTAATGCAAGAGATATGCACTTTATATACTGCCTTTGTGCTTAATGAATTTTTATTCTCTTATGAAGATTATGTTAAGTTCAAACTTTAACGGTTCAGTGCAAATTGTACTGTATGTTAGCTGTAGTTAGTTCAATACATTAAATTGGTCCTTGAAGGGTTTTGTATTGTTGTCTGAATATATATAAATAAATAAATAAAATTTACTGCGGTCGTTAAAAGGAAATTTGTTGTTTCCAAGCCTTCTCTCAGCTCACACCCAAAGCCATCTGTAATAAGATCTCCAGTGCTTTAGAACAACAATTTGAGTTCTTCGGAACTTGATAGATTAATTTCTGCGGTTAAAGAGTGTATTCGTCCGCTGCTCCTTTAGAGTCTTGTTAAGATATTTGAAGAAAAATTTCCTATTGGGCTAATTCTCGCTACGACCAAGTGCCTAGTACTATGATCTCTTTTTTGCAATATAATATTTGGCGTAATTTATAATTTTCAGATTTATACTTAAACTCATATAGATAACAATTTTTTTGAATTTAAAATTTCCAGTTATACTTTAGCCACCAAATACAGTGATAACGGGTATGGTAGTGTTAGTATGCTAGTCAAGAAAGGGGTGAATTTCAGACGTATTCCCTAAAATTCGGCCGTTGACATTATTATGAACAAAACCATCAATCTTAAACCGAGTCCTTTTGTAGTCCCATGCTACTTTCTATACAGTGTTGGTGTACAAACTTTTCGTGATGAAATTCAGGCATTATGTGTCTTTCTTGATGGTCAACAAAATGTGATTCTAGCAAGAGATTTCAACGCTATACATTAATTGTAAGGCGATCAGCTCCCGACCAACAAAGCCAAGATCCTTGTACAGTTTCTATGTTTTAAGTAATGACAATACTACTTTTTACTACAGGGTGGTCGCATGCGAGTAGTGTCTTGGATCTAACTTTTTTTAATTCAATTATTTCATCACAACACTCTCCCATTTTATTTCGCAGTTGCAGTAATTCCGTTAAAAAAATAGAAAATTTAATTTCACTGAAATTCCTTATGGACGGTCTGTCTAAAATTGATTTTCCTTCCGGCATATCATCAATTCAGAGTGCTTTTCAGTCTAAAAGCAAGTCTGCTACAGCCAAATATTCTGCTGTTGAGTCCTTTTCACCTAAACCATGGCGGAACTTTCCTCTGTCAACTCTTTTTCGCAAATACCAAGCTAGGGAAAAGGACTCATAGATCATCATTAAAGAGTTGTATGGGAAAGGTAACTCGCGTTTTTTGTGAAATTATATCAATAGTCATCGACATTTTAATCAAAAGTTAAGTGGTTCTGCTGCTTGATAATAAAAGATACTAAGATTTGTCAAAGATTGGGAACATTATTCCAGTTCGCTCTTATTCGTATCAAAAACGCAAATTTTCAAACGTTACGTGCGTTAATGAACTATCTTTTCCCATAGCTAATCTAAAGAAAGCTGGTAAAATGGTTGTTATGCTTTTCCTGGATATGATTGTTTCAACTTAATGAAGCTTAGTAGAACTTTTCAATTTCTCTTCATTTACGTCTGTGGATACTAACCTTGTTCTCCAAATGTGTGTTGGTAATGGGCATAGACAAAGTTGAAGTATACGGTGGTATTCCACAAGGCAGTTGTTTGAGACCCATACTCTTCAATCATGCAGCGAATTTGCAATCTCCAAAATGACAAAACCTATACTTTTCAATATGCAGATGATTGCTTAATTGTATTTGCGGATTCATCCTTTTCAATGGCTGTGAATAATCTCTCGATAAAAGCTGATCTTTTTTTGATGCATATACTGATCTTAATTTATATTTGAATCCTAGCAAAACAAATACTGTGCATTTTTACAAAGATTTTCAACGCGAAATTAGGCTCTTTATCAAAGGAACTACAGTTAATCAGGTGAAGTTTCTTCGATTTCTTGGTAGAATTTTAGATGACAGGCTAACTCTTTGTGGACACTATGAGAAAGCCTTCAAAGACTGTTAATCATCAAGCTCATGATTAACCTGACATCAGTCAGGTTTGCCTTCCTTTAACTGTGTAGAAAGCTTCAGCCAAGTCTAAGATTGAATTTAGACATTCTACATGTTGTAATTTTCCAAAATATATTGAGAAACGAATACAAACATTGGAAAATAGAATGTTAAAACGGTTTACTCCCGTCAACTCCTCAACATATTCTCAATGTCATGTCTGGTGAATGGGCTGTTTCCGAAAGAGCTATTTATGTTCTGCTAAGGAGTGAATTAAGGTCAAGATAATGAATCCTTCGTTTTTCCAGAAAGTTATATCTCCCAGTGATACTGTCTTTTGCAGCTACCCATTTTGTTATCAAAAACTCCATTATATTTTTGACAAGATAAATTCAATCATTCTCTTGAATTTCTTTACCAATAAATGTAAAGTCTTCATGAACATCCTTGAACAGCAACGGTTACGATATATATGCTACTGATGGTCCCGTTGCACACAAAGTACCTAGCTTCTCGGCAGTAAAGCATCTGTCTAAAATAGTGTATAAAGTCAAAATTGCGAAGGAAGTTTCGTCGACTTTTATTGAATTGCTTGCCATTAGACATGTCATTAAGGTAGCTATTATGGATGGTCTTTAAAAATCTGTAATTTTCTCAGGATAGCTGCTTCTAATAAATAAAAGATATGCAGATAATCAATATGTGTTTGATATACACAGGATGTCACATGAATTTCAAGTCGATGATTTTCACCTTGCTACTGCGACTGTTTTTTAAATGGTATTCATGCAAGAAGGGCTCAAGTTGGTGGTGCAATTTTGTCAGTCAAATTACTCCCAATGAAGCAATATGGGCAATTCGTAACCACATCTTTCAACAACTAAATAACGAATTTAAAGATATTGCGCGTGCTAAATCCATTCGCCTTTTCTATAAAATAAATCCCAGAGTTAAGCTTAAATCCTTATCCGAGGCTTCCTTTAAATCCTAGGAGATCAAAATTCTTTATAGACACGTGAGCGGTCAGAACTACCACAAAGTATATTTAAAAATGATTCCGGCTATACCATGTGATATTTGCAAAGTTTCTAATATTATTGCGTCTGCTGAGCATCTAATATTCAGATATCACAGGCTTCAATCATAATTTATCTCTATAACATTTTTTTTCAGCCAAAGTTTGCAACACTTGTTTTACATCATTTTCAACAACTCAACAATCTACAATTACACTTAACATAATGGCTTTAACAATCATGGCCGCAGTTTTTTTATGTATTTTATATAAATTTCGTGCTAATAATTACCACTGTTTATTATCTGGACACATGAACCACAAATTTTATTAGCTTGGTCCATTTTAAATCAATATCAAAAAAAAAAACAAAAATACAACTGATTTATTATTATTTAATTATATCCAAAAAAAAAATTTCAATTTGCGTAAATAAAAGTCGAACTGATTTTAATAAAGATTTAGAACTATTCGCAGTGTTTTTTTTTTTTTAAATGCTTGAATTTGTAGAGTATACAACTCCGGAATGGCGCGGATTAAATATGCGCTCTTTAAAAGTGGATGAAGCATATCTGATATTAAAATCTCACTTTTCCAAGGCCACATATTTATATAGTTTATCCGAAGCTTGTTATTCGGTGAGAGAAAATAAATTTGTGGTCGAATTCAAATTTTCAAATTTTGTGTTTATTTAAGTGTCCTTATACGAAAGTGAAAAACTTACTTCAGCATCATTACAATGATAATTTAACGTTAAATGTTGCCTATCCCATAAAATTTAAGTTAATTGACCAGGATGTAGGTCGCTATGCTTTCAATAACATGTGAGGCTTGCATTAGTAAATATTTTCATTGTTAAAGCTATAATATATTTTTTTAGAACTTCGCTATGCGAATATGAAAACCTAAATTATGGAGAGTTTGGCGTTTATAATCTTACTCTTGACGTGCATGGTAGCTGTGAGTGGCGCACGGATAAGGAAGCGGTGAATATTTATTACCGTAAGATATTGTGTTATTTTTCAATATAATTCTTTATTTTATCTTTTTCATAGCAATACTGGCAGTACTCATATTACTTGCTCTAATTATGGTAATGCTTAAGATCGGCTTATGTGCTTGGCGTAACTTTCATTACGAAGAAATTTTAAGCACCGTAAATTTAAGTGGCATAAACATTAACACTGCAGGACAACCTAATCGTTTACGTAGCTTGGATACATTCAGGGGGTATATCTAACAATACTACGTACCATTCAGATGTTAAAATCCAGATAGTTACTTTCTTTTCATAATAGTCTAACCATAGTTTTGATGATTTTTGTGAACAGCGGTGGTGGTCATTATTGGTGGATTGAACATGCTCCTTGGAATGGCTTGCATTTAGCTGACATAGTATTCCCATCATTCCTTTGGATTATGGGTGTTTGTATACCGATTTCCATTAAGTCCCAAATAACCAGAGATGTTACCAAATACCGTATAGTCCTGAGAATCCTTTGGGTACATTCTCCTCTCTTGCGATTTTCGCATATGTACAGCATTTTCGTAATTTTAGAGATCTTTGAAACTGTTTTCAATTGGTTTATGTTTGAATTCAATAAATGGTCCAAAGTTGGAGAATTTACGTATTATGGGTGTGTTACAAAGACTCGGCGTAGCCTACTTAATTTGCGGTTTGACGCACACAAAGTTGAGTGAACGTGTGATAATTGAATCTCAGGTTAATTTCAGATGTTAATGTTAACGAAATAGAATATATTGTAATAATTCCTTTTAGATAACTTGGAAACGTAAGTTTCAAGACTTGATTATAATGCGAGGCGAGTTGCTGATAGTGGTCTTCCTAATAGCTGTGTATTTGTGTACGATATTTGGCCTAAACGTACCGCAATGTCCGAGGTTTGTTATTGCGAAGCAAATTGGTGGTTTGATATAGATTTGACTTTCAATTTATCTTCAAATTTCCAGAGGGTACTTGGGTCCTGGTGGCAAACATTCCAATGCTGAATATTTTAACTGTATCGGTGGGGCTAGCGGGTATATTGATTTCCTGATATTGGGTAACAGGCACATATATCAAAATCCAACCGCGAGGTATATTTACGATTCAAGACCATTTGATCCCGAAGGCGTTTTTGGTATTTAAAAATCTAATAGGAGAAAAGTTAACGAAATTAACATTCATTGGTAACTTCCCATAGGCTGTTTATTAACCATTGTGCAAGTGTTTTTTGGACTATTGGCCGGTGTCATTATTCTCACTTACACCACGTGGCAAGCTCGTAGTAGTAGGTGGCTAATATGGTCTGCGATTTTAGCATTAATAGGCGGAGCATTAAGCGGTTTCTCTTTCGAAAATGGTTTCATACCCATAAATAAAAATCTTTGGTAAAAAATCCTATTCTCTTTACAATGTTTACAAACTAAATAATTGTGTGCATGCTTTTCAGGTCATTCTCATTTGTTTGCGTAACCACTGCATTATCATTCATTTCATTAAGCCTGCTTTATTACGTCATCGATGTCAAATGTTGGTGGCAAGGATACCCTTTTGAAGCGGCGGGTATGAATGCCATTATTCTGTATGTAGGTCATACCGTATTACATAAAATGTTACCTTGGCATTGGAGTATAGGACCCATGAATACGCATTTTGTTTTATTGCTGAAATCCGTCTGGAATACAACGCTATGGCTGTGTACAGCATTATATTTAAACTATAAAAAATTTTACTTCCGTTTATAAAAATAAAAATGCATGCATTTTTTTATAGGTATAAAATTATGTACTCATTATTTGGCATATAAGATTGAAGTGTTTATATACAGTTGATATATAAAATTAGTTATTTTTTAAAGAGGGTAGCTGTTGCGAATATTTTAGATTGGAATGTTTATCAATCGTATTGTCAAGTGATTTACCCTGCAATTTTCGGTTCATGTATGTAATTCTTTTATTATGTTTAATAATATATGTACGGACTTTTTTATAAAATATTAAAAATTAGGCGTTGTTACCCTATAGTTACATTTTGTAGGAATGGTTATAATTCAAATTTTTCACATCAATTTAATTTCCCGGCCTACTATTAGTGGACGATTGTTATCGAAAAATTCTCAAAACTACACTTTTGTTACCTTCTAGCAACTGAGGAGTGATCATAAAAGAAGTTGGATCCAATCTATTTTCAATGGGATTCTTCCTTACACCCGATTTGTCAAAATATCTCAGAACACAAGTTACATGGATGGACATCAAGCAAACAGACAAGCTGAAATCAACTGTGAAAATTGTTATAAATCGATTGTAATTATAAGCGGGGTAAGGAGCTCTATTTTAAGTTGTTCTGGATATTACATACATGCACATAAACTCCGCATGTCTCTTATTAAGGAGTTAATCAAAATGATTGGATTTTGGCTGTTCTTGCTAAGGATAAGCGCAAATAACACCCATTTAAAAATATAAAGTTTTTATTGATTTGGTTCTCGTTCAAATTGAAATCACTAAATTGCCGAACGATCGAATTTTAACGATATTTTTGTCTATGTCTTTCTAAATCTCCAAGAATAGCGTATTAGGTAAGAACAGCGACTGCCAAGTCACAGTTGGCGGGGTCAAATCTCAACGGCGGTAGAGCTTATTTTGATCGTAGCTGTAATGGATGCTCAGTCGGTAAAGGCATAACACATCGATTTGGCAGAGATTACCCACTATCTCCCTATTTGATTCCTCTGGTCCTCTGTTCTGACCGTCACCGTCTTATATAAATATCCGATATCCCCTAAGAGATTAAAAAAAAAACATTTTCAATAGCAATTCTGTAAAGAAGATTTGTTCTAAAATTGATCGTTTATTTATATCAATCCGTTACGGACAGGTGGAACATAAGACTTTTTAATTCAACCTTAGTATGCAAGTAAGAGTTTTTACAATCCTTATCTGAGAGTGAATAGTTTTGTCACTCTTTCATAAAAACACGCTTTGGAGAATCTAAAGTAAATATATTTTCGTTTAAAGAAAGCATCAGGATCAATATGGCCATGTTTGTCTGACCTTCGTCACTCGTGGAAAATTCCATCGTCAGCAAATTTAAAATTAATCTTAAATTCGGCACATAGATTCTTTATTTAGCTTCGTATATCGAGTTCGAAAATGGGAAAGCTTTTGCCATAAATATGCCTTAGATTGCTAAAAACTAATAAGAAAAAAAATACCCAAAGTTATGGTGTACATCAATTGCTAATTTGACACAGACAAATTTTCAGAGCTCATAATTGGTCAATTCTTGTATTGAGTATTTAACTTTTTCATTTATTACTCTGACACTGTCTTGATTTAAAATAGAGACAGAAATTTACTACTAACTAAAATCAATTTCGTAACTTTTGAATAAAACTTGCAGCTGAATATTCCGTTGCATGAACGTAACATTTTAATGTATTCTGTACCACAAGTGGTGTAGGGTACAAGCAGAAGAAAACTAGAACAAATGGAAGAAACGAAGTAAAAGATTAACAAAAAAGAAGCTAATGCCAAAACCAAAAAAGAGCGCAAAACAAAACATGTACGGGACTTATCGAGTCCAAGAACAAGTTTTAAATAAAGAGAAAAGAATGCAAGCTTAAGTTCTGAAAGAGAACTGCATACAAACGTTTTGCATGACCATCAAAAAGGTGGATATAAGCACAATATTAATTGCATATTATTAGTAAATTATTTTGAAACTTTTATACGTTGCTTTAAGTTGGAGGTTAAAAAGCATTCGCTTTAAAATGAACATCACTTTTTTTTGCCTTAAGGAAACATAAAGGTGCCATTATCGTTGACTACGTTAAGGTGACTCAAATAAGAAGAAACTTTGGTTAGTCTGTATAGCTTTTATATGCACTAAATTCGTTAAATACGCGCAATGTATAGAAATATTCATGGAAAAGGGCATTGCGTGTATGTTGCCTTGATCAACATAAACAGCGAAATAAATTTTATTGTGTCTGTCTGTCAGTATGAAGTGTAGGTTTAAATAAAAAATTGTGCTTATTACCAGGGGTGTAATCATCCTCTTTGTGTCTTTCAAAAATACGCTTCAGAGGCTGGGGCCACAGTATATTTGTTCTCGATCCACATCAAATTCTGAATAGATTTAAGCATATCTGGTAATATCTGTTGTAAACTTCAAATTTAGACGGTCTTTCACGCTGGTTGGTACTCAACACTGACAACATCTCTCTTTCTCAAAAAAAATTAAAAATCGGTTTTTTGCTCATTACTCAAAAACTATACTAGGTAAATGCGTAAGAGTTTGAGCATGCATTCTGTGGGTAACGCTATAGTAATTGTATAAAAATGCGAAAAATTGATCACTCCTAGCCAATGTCAAAATGAAAAAGATCACCCGCGCCCTCCTAATATTGTTCAGCATAAAAATGTAATTCTTTTCCTCTTTTTAGGGTCACGGTGGTGATATAAAAGATTCGGCCACGTCCGTATATAATTTTCCCACTTGTTTTGTTGTGTAACAATGTACTGACACGGTATTAATAGTAATTTTCTTGCGAAATTTTATTTAAATAAGCAGAAAGTTATATTCGGCTTGGGGCAAATCTTCGAGAGAGAGATAACAAACACTTCTGATCAATATATGAGGAACCCGTAGACCACATTATAGGAAGTTTATTTGGTTGATTGTTACCCTAAGCTTTTAGGATATGCGGCATCAAGTTTTAGCCTTTCGTATATACTGCTTATATGCCGTGCGGAAAAAAAAATTTAAAGGGATGTATATACGCAGATTAGGCTTTTGAAATTATAAAATATCTTCTTCTCATAGAAATGAATATTTTTCGTGAAAGTTTTTTTTTTAAGGCAGTTTTGTTTAAAATTGACCAAGGGCCATGAACTTTAATGCACCAAGTTTCCAGTTTATAATTCAATTTTCGCAATTTAAAGTAGTCAATTTAACAAAAAAGGAAGGACATGACTGTGGGAAGTTACGCAACCGACATAGGATCCAACGTATCTGAACAGAGAAAAAACAGAATCCGTAACCTTGTCCAGGATTATTGGCAGAGTCGACCTCGTCGACGTGTGTTTATCAATGTATATCTGTTGCAATCACCATTGTGATCTTAAAAATTTCTCTAAAAAAATAAATTTGGTCTAAAATTTATAACGTCCGTCCTATTGCTATGTTCGAACTTAATTGAAATTCACCTAAAAAAAAAAAGAAAAAAGAGTAGCGTATATAAATATGGTGAAGCAAATGACTATTGGTTTGCATAAGCATTTACAAACTCTTGCCGTAAAAAGATACGTTGACGGTATGTACGTTATACTGAGTGAATGAATATTTGCGGTGGCTTGCAATCAAATACCGTCCACTAGTGATGGGCACTAACAGATTCAAATCAGAACGAATACAACCGTTACTGTATTTCAAATGTTTTCTTTAGATAGCATTTATTATTTAAACTTTATATTAACTTTTTAAAAAGAAAAAAAAGTGAAATAAAACTAGCTTTAAAAAACTTAAAATGTTAGAAATTCATGTTTTTTTTTTTCGATATTAATTCATTTACTTTTGCAAATGCATCAATTTACTAAAAATATTTTATTATAATTATTATAGAAAAAAGAAAACAAATTTCATCGTAAATTGTCTCTTTTGTTTTGAACGTTTGGATAAATTACGTTATGATTGTATTTACGAATACATAAGTTTATGCAAATAAATATTTATATATAAGAGAAAAGTATTGTGTTTGTATGTGTAATTCGTAAATATATTATAATATATTGAATATATGAATTCATTTTAAAACTAAAAAACGTCTGTAGGAATTTATTGGTTACATTGTAGAGAAATATGCTATTCTTTCATAAAGAATCGATTGGCAAAAAATATGAGAAAATTTTGTTCCTTTGATTGCATCGCGGATAGTTTTATTTTTTACTTTTGTGTTTTTGTTTTTCTTTTTAAGTACATTTTCTTATAATAAAAAAAATATATATATAAAAAATTAATTGCAATTTTGATTTTCTGCGCACATATATATGTATATTCAAGAAAATTTATATTCTTCAAATAAATATTGAGCGATTAATCAGTCGTCGGACTAATGATTTTGATTTTCATTAAATGCATTTTAAATTCGATATATATATATATATATATATATATATATTTATATATATGGTGCTTCTTTTGCTTTCTATGATATTGTGCAGTCGCAACACATTAGTGTATAATATAAACATTTGACCACTTTTTCATCTTCTTCCTTGACAGTGTCGTTGGTGTTGGCTTTTGGCAGTACTCCATCTAACTGATCTAATTCCTTAGTTTGTACATGTTTCTTCTTGCGTTTCTTTTTAGATTTCATTAAGTTGCTCACATCGGGATCATTTTTCTGCGTTTCTTCTTGTAAGGTGCTGACCATTTTTGCATCAACAACATCATCAGTTATGCTTTCAATTGAATTAACGTCACCCTGGATTTATAATGTATGGATGAATGAATGAACACAATGAATTTGGGTTTATTGAATTTCATATACCTGATTGTTATTATGATTGCGTTGTTTATAATGATTTGCAGTTTGTTTTTGTTGTGCATTAGCTATGGAACCATTCTGAATATTTACATCCCGATGAGGTGATTCTGTATGAACTGTTGAAAGGGTGGTATCAGGTGAACTATTTAAATTTTCATTAGAACTTGCAAAAGTTTTTGGAGGCGATGGCAATGTATTTATATCAAATTCATTGCTACCTAATTCTTTACTTAGCAAAGAGAAGCGATTTTTCTAAAACATAAGAGAAAGAAAATTACGTTAATAAATAATATTCATTATTAAAAATGAAAAAAAAAAAAAAAACATAAAACCAAAAAAAATGTTACCTCCATTATTTCAGCAGTTGTGGTAGCAGTTACTATCGTTGTTATCGGGGAGTAACTTTTCGTTGGCATTATGGACGGATTTATTGAATAATTATTATTAATTTTTGTTACCGCAACGTGCTCGATGGCCTTGTCTAATTGTTCATCGAAAGGACTTAGAGTAGGTGATACTAACGGTAGTGTAGACGCTGTGCTATTTGGTGAGGTGGGCGTATGCTCTGTTGTCTTTGAATTTAACGATTCCTCAGTTTCGACTACGATACTTGAGTTAACATTGCGTATATTTTGTGTATTCACGTTCGAAGCATCATTAGTCGTCCCAGGATCTGCACATACAGTGGTTGTGGCTGCAGCGGCCACACAAGCAATAGACGTCAGACCAGAACTAGAGGGGCCATCTAATAAACTGGTATCTGGATCTCTGCAGACGTACCAAAAAATCAATAAAAAAAATAAAAAACAAAACTCATTTTATAAAATATTATAAATAATAAGAACTCTGAAACGCATAAATAATTAATAAGATGATAAACAACCGCTATAAACAGTAATTGTTTCAATTCTATTGATCAAAAATTGTGAATGGAATAATGTTAGACACATTATGGAGAACAGTATTATATAAATGCTTTACATTAATGATAACGATGATGTCAGAATGATGAATTTAATGCTTAAATGTAAACAAGTTATACAATTTTTGTTCTGAGCGTACAAAATAATTATTTCTACAGAGGTTATTAGCTAACATCATGTAATGGTTAATGTAAAGTATCCGTTATGAAAATTCGTCAAAAAAAATAGAAAAATAATATATAAACTCGATTTACTAGACACAAGCAGGTATTGAATGTTTAACGGCTCTTGTTAAAATGGAATCTTTTACTGTCACATTGTTCATTAAATATTAATGAGAAAGTTATGTTATGTATGCATACAGGTGGGAGGGCAGATTTTGAGATAAACTTAATATCTCTATAATAATTCTCTTTGATTTGAATCGTATAAAAATTGCAAGTGCTTGTAAAATTTGGCATACTTGATCATAAAAGATTTCTCTTTGGGAACGGTTTTGCATTTTTTTTCTTTTTAATTTATTTGAAAATTCTCATTACATGTGCATCTTGCGCTAACAAAGTACTCGATGAATACATGATAGATTCATGTCATTTTCGTAACATAAACAAACAAAAAAAAAAACCGTCAATAGAAACCATAAAGTAAATATGAGACATATTAGAATTATGTTTTTCTTGTTGTTCACTTGTTGTTTGTTATCGAAACTTTCAAAAATCGTAATTGGAAGAAAAAAATGGAATTTTAGCATTTCTAGTTGCTTGTTGGGCTTGAAAGTGCGCTTTTACCATTTGCATAAGGCTATTATTCAACTCACGTTCTGCACTAGCTCTCGATCGACAATGAGGGTTTTGAGTTTTTCTAGGTTCCTTTGAAGATGAAGAGAGTAAATGATTTTGAAACTGCTTTTTAGGACAAAAAATTCATTTCCTTGCAAAATGAGTAGAGCATTGTCTTATCAATTTTTATATCCTAGACCATGGTGGTACAAGAATATGTTAAGTTTGCGCGGATATGTACAACACCCAGAAGGACTTGACATAAGCCCAAGCCTAGGTTTAGTATGCTAACGTGTTTTGGGCTTAGGTCAAACGCCGCTGAAAATGGTTCGGAGCGGAACTAATCTTCGACCACTTCCGATATAACGGCGTTTTTTGAATAAACCCAAACCGATATAGCATATTTAACAGTGGGCCTATATTATTTTTACTTATTATAAAATTTTAAGAGAATAGAGAACAGTGCAGCAGTTACGAGAATTAAACAAGTTTTATGACAAGTATCTATAATACCGAAAATCTGGATATGATTTGAGAATAACCCCAAATTGACTGCGAGTTTTCGACAGATCAAAAAAGGGATATATATATATATATATTAGTTTGGGGAAAAAGAAATCCATTATTTTTCCGGTAGATGGCTGCACTGATAGATTTCTCGTAAAGTATCGATCAAACAATTTCCGATACTGTATATTTACATACTGTACATTTCGCAGTAAAAAAAATTCTTTTACTGTTTTTTGTTTGGTGCATTCAGTTGTGAGTTACAGCGTGTTAAAAATGGAAGTGAACAAAGAGAAAATTCGGTACATTTTACAGTTTTTCTTTGACAAAGGCGAAAATGCAAGCCAGGCGGCTAAAATTGTGAATGGTGTTTATGGTTCCGATACTGTAACAGCCAATTATGTGCAATTTTGGTTTCGTAGATTCCGTTCAGGAATTTTTGATGTTAAAGATGCACCTCGCACAGGTAGGCCGGTCGTCGAAAATGTCGATAAAATCGGAGAAATGATCGAAGTTGACCGGCATGTTAGCAGTCGTAACATCGCCCAGGAGCTAAAAATCTACCATAAAACAGTTTTAAACCATTTACACAAAGCTGGATTCAAAAAGAAGCTCGATGTTTGGGTGCCACACTAATTAACAGAAAAAAACATGATGGATCGAATTTCCATCTGCGAAGCCTTGGCCAAACGGAACGAGATAGACCCATTTCTTAAACGGATGGTGACTGGAGATGAGAAATGGATCACATACGATAACCCTGTGCGAAAACGATCGTGGTCAAAGAGCGGTGAAGCACCTCAAACGGTGGTCAAACCAGGACTAACGGCCAGGAAGGTTTTGCTATGCATTTGGTGGGACTGGAAGGGGATTATTTATTATGAGTTGGTTCCATATGGCCAAACGCTAAATTCTGATCTCTACTTTCAACAACTGAACCGTTTGAAGATAGCGATTGACCAGAAACGGCCAGAATTGGCCAACAGGAGAGGTGTCGTGTTCCACCAGGACAACGCTAGGCCACACACATCTATAGTGACTCGCCAGAAACTTCGGGAGCTTGGTTGGGAAGTTTTAATGCATCCGCCATACAGTGCGGACTTGGCACCAAGCGATTATCATCTTTTTCTTCCATTGCAAAATTTCTTTAATGATAAAAAATTGGAATCTAGGGAGGATTGTGAAAATCGACTACTAGAGTTTTTTGCAAATAGAGACCAGGACTTCTATGAGAGAGGCATCTTGAAGTTACCTTTAAAATGGCAACAAATCATACAACAAAACGGTGCATATTTGACCCAAATCGGACAATCCGAAGCATGTTAAATAAAGTGCTGAGGTTCATATAAAAATAATGGATTTCTTTTTCCCCAAACTAATAC